CACGTTGGCTCCCTGGTTCCAGAGCTGAGTCACTGAGATCCCAGCCTGCCCGCGCCAACCGTGAAAGTGCTCGAAGTCACCGCCTGCTGAGCTAGCCTCCCGGCTCTGACATACTCTGGGACCTGGAGATGCTGGCTTGATAGCTGAGATAATTACGTTTCACCCTTCATTCCTTTATCAGCCATGCTGATGAGAAGGGATAAGCGCTCCAGTGGAAGAAAACACTCCTGCAGTATTTACTTGTGCTCTTTAGTGCCAGCCAGCTCCCCCTTCCCAGGGACAACTCCTGGAGATGGGCCTACATGCTGTTTTCTGGTGCCAGCCACCACTTGCTACTCTCTTGTCAAATGCCAGGCTGCACTTTCCTTACTGCATCCCCTGTGACTGTCAACTTCTCCAGGAGCTGCAGTGTCACTGCCTTTCAGATGACTTACACATGACAAGTAACTGTCTTTATTTTTTTTTATTTATTAATTTATTAATTTATTTATTTATTTATTTATTTATTTTGAGACAGAGTTTTTTGCTCTTGTTGCCCAGTCTGGAGTGCAATGGCACAATCCTGGCTCACTACAACCCCTGCCTCCCGAGTTCAAATGATTCTCTTGCCTCAGACTCCTGAGTAGCTGGGATTATAGGCATATGCCACCATACCCGGCTAATTTTATATTTTCAGTAAAGGGGGTTTCTCCATGTTGGTCAGGCTGGTCTCTAACTCTCGACCTCAGGTGATCCACCCACCTCGGCCTCCCAAAATGCTGGGATTTCAGGTGTGAGCCACCGTGCCTGGCTTTATTTATTTATTTATTTCTGAGACGGGGTTTTGCTCTTGTTGCCCAGGCTGGAGTGTAGTGGCATGATTCATTGCAACCTCTGCCTCCCAGGTTCAAGCAATTCTCTTGCCTCAGCCGCCCAAGTAGTTGGGACTACAGGCATGTGCCACCACACCCAGCTTATTTTTGTATTTTTAGTAAAGGCTGGGTTTCACCATATTGGCCAGGCTTGTCTCGAACTCCTGGCCTTGTGATCTGCCCACCTTGGCCTCGCAAAGTCCTGGGATTACAGGCGTAAGCCACTGCACCCAGCTGGGCAACTGTCTTTTTGACACCCATCTCCTGCCTCCTCTACAGATTCCATAAAGCAGAGGCCTTGCCCCTGTGTCCGAGCCTGCGAGCTCTCTGCAGAATGTTACACCACTGGGGGTCAAGATTCATAGCACTGGTTAGCTGGAAAAAGAGGGGCAGGGAAACACAGCAGGCAATTATGTCTCAGAAGCAGAGTCCTTGAGATCGATCCTCCATAAAAACTAACATTTATTTCATTTGTTCATTCAACAAACCTTTACCCAGGACCTGTCACTTCCTGGTGATGGATGCAGTAGACGTGGACATTCACAGCACAGACCAAGTCTCTGTCCTCATAGAACATACCTTGTAGAAGACATCTGACTTGTTTTTGATACGTGCTTTCTATTTCACAAGGCAGAGACATTATCTATATAATCCTAAGTGGCATAACCATCTCTAGTTTATAGACAAATGGCATCTCCAAAAGGCTAAATGAACTTCCCAAAGCCAAGGCGCAAACTTGGGTCTTCTAACTATTTTTTTTTTTAGACGGAGTTTCACTCTTGTTACCCAGGCTGGAGTACAATGGCGTGGTCTTGGCTCACCGCAACCTCTGCCTCCTGGGTTCAAGTAATTCTCTTGCCTCAGCCTCCAGAGTAGCTGGGACTACAGGCGTGTGCCACCAGGCCCAGCTAATTTTTTTTTTTGTATTTTTAGTAGAGATGGGGTTTTACCATGTTGACCAGGATGGTCTCCATCCCTTGACCTCCCGATCCACCCGCCTCAGCCTCCCAAAGTGCTGGGATTATAGGCGTGAGCCGGCGCACCAGGGCGGGTCTTCTAACTATTAACATCATGTTCTTTCTGGGACCTCCCCCAAAAGTAGGGAGGTGGCAAGGTACAGGATGGCATTAAAACAGACATTAAATCAACGCAGGCCTACACATGCATCATGGCTGGAGATAGAAGATTGAAAAAAAAACAAAGACTCAATCCCTGATCTAAAGAAACAGATAGTCTAAAAAGAAAGACATGTAGGCCGGGCATGGTGGCTCAAGCCTGTAATCCCAGCACTTTGGGAGGCTGAGGCGGGTGGATCACGAGGTCAAGAGATCGAGACCATCCTGGTCAACATGGTGAAACCCCGTCTCTACTAAAAATACAAAAAATTAGCTGGGCATGGTGGCGTGTGCCTGTAATCCCAGCTACTCAGGAGGCTGAGGCAGGAGAATTGCCTGAACCCAGGAGGCAGAGGTTGCGGTGAGCCGAGATCGCGCCATTGCACTCCAGCCTGGGTAACAAGAGCGAAACTCCGTCTCAAAAAAAAAAAAAGAAAGACATGTAACCAACTATTGTCTGTGGCAAGAATAAAGATAAAGTGATTAAATTCAAATAGGAAGACGTCTCTGGAAGAATGCACAAGAAATAATAATCATCTCTAGGTGAGAAAATTGGGTACCTAAGGAACAAGGGTAGGAAGGTCATTTTTTATGATTCAAATATTGTATATCTTGAATTATGTACCATTTGAATGTATTTCCCATTAAATAATACCTTGAAGATGGAATCAGCCAAATCCTGAACGTAGAAAATTCTACAGGATAAATTATCTGGTTTCTTCAACAAACAAGTAACTCAAGAAAGAGGGAGAAAGAGGAAATGTTATCGATTTTTAAAGATGTAGAAAATGTCAACCTTAATATATCTACCTTATTTGGATATTTTGATCCACATTTGAACAAACTAGCTATAAAAAGACATTTTGGGGCCAGGTATGGTGGCTCACACCTGTAATCCCAGCACTTTGGAAGGCCAAGGTGGGCAGATCACTCGAGGTCAGGAGTTTGAGACCAGCCTGGCCAATACAATGAAACCCAGTCTCTACTAAAAATACAAAAATTACTCAGGCGCGGTGGTACGCACCTGTAATCCCAGCTAATAGGGAGGCTGAGGGAGGAGAATTGCTTGAATCCCAGAGATAGAGGTTGCAGTGAGCCAAGATCACGCCACTGGTGGCACTCCAGCCTGAGTGACAGAGACTCCATCTCAAAAAAAATAAAAAGACATTTTGGGGACAAGGGAAATTGAACATGGACTATTTATTAGAGATCATTAAGGAATTGTCAGTTTTGTTATTGATCATGGTCTTTTGGTTATATTTTTTTAAAGTTCCTTATCTATTTGAGATATATACTGTTTACTGATAAAACAATGTGATGCCTCAGATTTGCATTTAAATATTTAGGAAAAAAAAATTAAGTGAATGAGGACAGGCATGGTGACTCACTCCTGTAGTCCCAGCACTTTGTGAGGCTGAGGCAGGTGGATCACTTGAGACCAGGAGTTCAAGACCAGCCTGGCCATCATGGTGGAAACCAGTCTCTACTAAAAATACAAAACTTAGCCAGGCGTGGTGGCCTGCACCTGTAATTCCAGCTACTTGTGAGACTGAGGCAGGAGAATTGTTTAAACCCGAGAGGCAGAGGTTGCAGTGAGCCAAGATTGCACCACTTCCCTCCAGCCTGGGCCACAGAGTGAGACTCTGTCTCAAAAATAAATAAATAAATAAATAAGTGAACAAATAAAAAATAAATGAAACAGGCCTGGCATAGTGGCTCACACCTGTAATCCCAGCACTTTGGGAGGCCAAAACGGGTCCTGAAGTCAGGAATTCGAGAACAGCCTGGGCAGCATGCTAAAACCCCACCTCTACTAAAAATACAAAAATCAGCCAGGTGTGGTGGTGTACACCTGTAAACCCAGCCACTTGGAAGGCTGAGGCAGGGGAATTGCTTGAACCTGGGAGGCAGAGATTGCAATGAGCCGAAATCGCACCATTGCATTCCAGCCTAGGCAACAGAGTGAGACTCCAGCTCAATAAATAAATAAATAAAAGAATAAATAAATAAAGGGGGGAAGAGGACTAACAAGATGGTCAAAAGGTTGATAATTTCTGAAGCTAAATGACCAGCATTCATTCTACTGTTCTCTCTACTCTTGTGGATGGTTGAAACTGCCATAATAAAAAGGTTAAACAAAAATTTAGAAATTAATTATTCCATCCACCTAGGAAAACTGAGAAGAAAAGCACCACAGAGGAGAGCTTGAACTGAGTCTGGAAGGATGATGAGGAATTTTCTAAGGGGCAAAGGGCATTCCTGGCTGAGGGGACCGCCTGAGCACAGACATGCCCATCTATCACAAACCTCTCTCTGGAAGAGCCAAAGGTATCTACACTTGACCTCAAACTCAAACTACAGCCACAAAAAAATGCTGTCTTGTTTGATTCCCCAAGTCTCTGGGATATCTAAACATGTATCAACATCAACTACACTGTTCCAAGTGACAAGAGAGAGTCTGGGGTTGACAGCTCTACTCAGAGGCCTAGGAGAGCCCCCAGAGTAGCCCTCGAGGATAGGAAAGCAATTCACCTCTTTCAGATGGGTTTTGCCTGGCAAACAGTTGAGAAGCCAGCTAAGTTATCTCTGGGACAGAGCCTACATCCCTCCTGAGTCATCCCAGACACCTGTGTTCCCCAGAAACACACACTGGCTTTCCCCACAGCACCTTACAAATTAATAACCTCAGTATCATGGGATCCAGCTTGATGCTGGTCTGACAGCCCCACTCAGAAGTACTGAAACCTCCACGTGAAGGAGGAAGTGGTCCTCCCCTTCTTCCTTCCAAATCCTCAGTGGCCAATGGCCCCAGCCTTAATCTCCTGCACTGTCCTCTGCCCAACTCCAGCTGTACATAGGAAGCTTCATGGCTAGGCAGCTGCTTCAGGATTTATCCAGTCCTAGGCCGGGCACAGTGGTTCACACCTGTAATCCTAGCACTTTGGGAGGCTGAGGTGGGAGGATGGCATAAGCTTAGGAGTTCGAGTGTTATTCAGTCCTGGCCTGGTTCAGATGGGTCCTGTGGGTTACTTACCTTAGATCTCAGCTGCAGGTACTCCTCTGAGCCATAGGGGACGCTCTTCAGGGAAGTGAGGTAGTCATAACTGATGACAGCTGTCTGTGAACCAAGGCAGTGGGGAAAAGCTTAGCACCTGGACATTAAATACTACTCCTCTGCCCAAAACTTGCAGTACAGGCTTCTGACACTGCTATGTCTTGGGGAGTGGCCAGTCCCACCCCTAAGATGCCCAGGCCCTAGATCTTATTCTAGCTAGCTTCTTTCTATCATTCAGGACTCTGTGCAAATGCCACCTCTGCAGCAGCCTACTCTAAAATTGCCCCTCTTACCAGAAACATTCAATTATTTATCATAACAAACCGCCATCCAACATTATCTTGCTCATTTATTTCTTTGTTCATGAACTGTCTCTTCCTAAAAGCTTAAATTCTGAGCTTTAGAAGCACAGGGGCTTGTCCCTCCTGTCCATCACTATACCCCAGCACCTTTTTACACTGCCAGCAACATGAATTGCTCAACCAAAGCTAGTTGAATGAATGCTGTTACATAAACTTAGCCCACTTCTCCATATCACAAATAAACATTATTTTATACGTATGTCTGCTCTAATAGCATAAGTCTTTTTTTTTTTTTTTTTTTTTTTTTTAGGCAGAGTCTCGCTCTTTTACCAAAGCTAGGGTGCACTGGCACAATCTCGAACTCACGGCGGCCTCCGCCTCCCAGGTTGAAGCAATTCTCCTGCCTCGGCCTCAGCTGGGATTACATGCGCACTCTACCACACCTGGCTACTCTTTGTACTTTTAGTAGAGATGGGATTTCGCCATGTTGGCCAGGCTAGTCTCCTGACCTCAGGTGATCCTCCCGCCTCGGCCTCCCAAAGTGCTGGGATTACAGGCGTGAGCCACGCACCTGGCCCTAATAGCATGTGTCTTGATTCTGTGTCCCTTTATCCAGAGTGAATCAGAAAATTCCAGTCTCCAAGATATCTTAGACATTGAGGCACCTTGGGAATTATCTACCCCAAACATTCCTTTATAGAATTGAATAACTGGGAGCCTAGAAGTTTGGGGATTTATAAAGTTGATATTAAGAGAGTTTCCTCTTTTGCACTCTACAAAGCTTTATTCTATTAGACGTATACTTGTTAAACACTAACCACAAGTAAGACCTAGTCATTGAGCAGTGTTCAAGGATGATCCAGACCAGAGCCCTGGCCTTTAAAAAATAAACAGCTTTGTGGCTGGTTTACACAGCACTGATTCATATTTTCCTCCCTCCTTTCCAACTATTCAAATATCTAAAATTCCATTTAAAACCTGCGTCTCGCTGGCCTGAAGGTAGTGAGTTATCTCAACTGATTGTTCACAATCAGTCACAGATCAAACTCCTTGCTCTACTCTTTCCCCCCTTCTCACAATGGCACTTGACTAGTCTACAGGCTGGGCATGGTGGCTCACACCTGTAATCCCAGCACTTTGGGAGGCCGAGGCAGGTGGATGACTTGAGGCCAGGAGTTTGAGACCAGCCTGGCTAATATGGTGAAACCCTATCTCTATTAAAAATATGGAAATTGGCCGGGCGCGGTGGCTCAAGCCTGTAATCCCAGCACTTTGGGAGGCTGAGACAGGTGGATCACGAGGTCAAGAGATCGAGTCCATCCTGGTCAACATGGTGAAACCCCGTCTCTACAAAAAATACAAAAAATTAGCTGGGCATGGTGGTGCGTGCCTGTAATGCCAGCTACTCAGGAGGCTGAGGCAGGAGAATTGCCTGAACCCAGGAGTTGGAGGTTGCGGTGAGCTGAGATCGCGCCATTGCACTCCAGCCTGGGTAACATGAGTGAAACTCCGTCTCAAAAAAAAAAAAAAAAAAATAAATATGGAAATTAGCCAGGTGTGCTCACTTGAACCCAGGAGGTGAAAGTTGCAGTGAGCTGAGACAAGATTGTGCCACTGCACTCCAGCCTGGGCAACAGAGCAAGACTCTGTCTCAAAAAAATAAATAAATATGTGCATATATATTTTATATATATGTACATCTATATCTATCTATCTATATATATGGATTTGAATGCATGGATTTGGATTTTTGGTTTTTTGTTTTTCCAGTAATATAAGCAATGGATTGTTTTTTGACCTACTCCTGTAGGCATTCCTCAATCATAGGGGTGTGTGCGTGTGTGTATGTGTGTATGTGTGTGTGTGTGTACGTACATACACACACACACACACAATTGGCTTGGCACAGTGGTTCACGCCCGTAATCCCAGCACTTTGGAGTTTGGGACCTTCCTAGGCAATATAGTAACACCCTATCTCTACAAAAAAATACAGAAATTGGCCAGGTATAGTGTCAGGCACCTGTGGTCCCAGCTACTCAAAAAGCTGAGGCGGAAGGATCTCTTGAGACCAGGAGGTGGAGGTTTCAGTAAGCTGATATCACACCACTGCACCCCAGCCTGGACAACAGAGCAAGACCCTGTCTCCAAAAAAATAAAAATTAAATATACACATATATGTATTTATTTATTTATTCATTCATTCTATATCTTAGGCACTGAGATATATACATAAAACCTGCTACCGCTAGGATACCAATCCTGACTCCCAAGCCACAGCACTCACTCCAGTGTCCAACCATAGTAGCATCTGAATCACCCATCTTGGCATAATGCATGGATTTAAATTGTTTTTTAACCTATTCATATAGGCATTCCTCAACCAGAAGCTACTTTTTTTCTTTTTTTTTTTTTAGAGACAGGGTCTCACTTTGTTGCCCAGGCTGGAGTGCAGTGGCTATTCACAGGCGCAAGCCCACTACGGATCAGCACGGGAGTTTTGACCTGCTCCATTTCTGACCTGGGCCGGCTCACCCCTCCTTAGGAAACCTGGTGGTCCCCCGCTCCCAAGAGGTCACCATATTGATGCTGAACTTAGTGCGGACACCCGATCAGCATAGCGCACTACAACCCAGAACTCCTGGACTCAAGAGATCCTCCACCTCAGCCTCCCAAGTAGCTGGGACTATACAGGCACGCGCCATTGTGCCCGGCAACACTGATATTAAGGAGATGGTGAGATGACAACCACAATGGACTGTTGTCCATTGTTGCATCTGACTGAATCTACATCAAGGGGAAGAAAGCATGAGCTCATCCTACAGCAGACAAAGGAGGAAAGCAAGCATGAGGCAAGTGGCCATCTACCCACCAATGGGACAGTTTTTTTT